ATCGCTACTAGGTTGGAGGCCATCGCTACTGGGTTGGAGGCCATCGCCACTAGGTTGGAGGCCATCGCTACTGGGTTGGAGGCCATCGCTACTAGGTTGGAGGCCGTCGCTACTAGGTTGGAGGTTGCATTGCTAGGTTGGAGGCCATCGCTGCTAGGTTGGAGGCCATCAATTATAGGTTGGAGGCCATCGGTATTAGGTTGGTGCCATCGCTACTAGGATGGAGGCCATCGCTACTAGGTTGGAGGCCACCGCTATTAGGTTGGAGGCCATCGCTACTAGGTTGGAGGCCATCGGAGGCCATAGCTACTAGGTTGGAGGCCATCGCTGCTAGGTTGGAGGCCATCGCTACTAGGTTGGAGGCCACCGCTACTAGGTTGGAGGCCATCGCTACTAGGTTGGAGGCCATCGCTATTAGGTTGGAGGCCATCGCCACTAGGTTAAAACCATCGCTATTAGGTTGGAGGCCATCGCTACTAAGACTAGGTTGGAGGCCATCGCTACTAAGCTTCGGTTGGAGGCCATCGCTACTGGGTTGGAGGCCATCGCTATTAGGTTGGCGGCCATCGCTACTAGGTTGGAGGCCATCGCTACTAGGTTGGAGGTCATCGCTGCTAGCGCTACTAGGTTGGAGGTCATCGCTGCTAGGTTGGAGGCCATCACTACTGGGTTGGAGGCCATCGCTAGTAGTTTTTTTATGTTCTATTTTTTGCCCTCGGGAGGGGTAGGCCGGGAGTCGTTACTGGTAGCTTCTTGAGCTACTAGTAGCTGGGACGCAGAGGGTTTACTCTTTCTTTTTTTGTCTGTCTGTCTGACTGGCATTCTTTCTATCTGTCTTTCTTTCTTTCTGTCTGTCTGTCTTTCCTTTTTTCTGTTTTCTTTCTGTCTGTCTGTCTGTCTGTCTTTCTTTCTTGCCTTTAAGGAGAGGCTTTGAAACATGTTCATGTTTGTTGAATTCCGCGACATGTTTTCTACACCAGCTCTACACCAGCGGCACATTTCAGGTGGAATGAAACAGGTTATCTTGGGACTTGGCGCGACTACAGGAACCGTTGGTGAGACAGTTCGCATGAGATACTTACTGTACACAAATTGTTCTTCTGCGCGACAAAGGGCACATTGGGCTGCAAAGTGAAAAACAAGAACATTACTAGCGATAGCCTCCAACCTAGTAGAGATGGCCTCCTCCAACCTAATGGCGATGGCCGGAGCTAAGTTGCTGAGACGTAAATCTAGGCATGAGCTGCACATTAACATTGCTCAGCAAGCTCCGATAGCTTTAGCTAGTCGGGATTCTCTAGAATCATGCACTCTTTCACGTTGTTTCGGCCAAAGCAATAAAGCTCAACGTAGGCCTGATTTAACATATATAGCTACCACAAGTCTGAACAATATTTCATACGTATTTGTGACTTGCGCGTGTCTTTTCATGAAATGGTCTTGGCCTTTCAACCTTTACAAAGAACGAAAAGTGTCACGCATGTGAAACCTGAAAACTCCTGTGGTTGCTTCTCGGTTTGCGCTGTCATCCTTGCTGGGGTCATGCTCTGAGACATCTGATGCTCTTGCAGTGCCTTCTCGCGGTTCAGACCGGCTATCAGATGCAAACGGAAATGGCCACATGGATTCGAACAACTCAAATGACGCAAATGCCACCGAACCAAGGGGATCTTTCTCACCGATTATTTTTCTTTTGGTTCGAAACCATCCGAACTGGAAAGTTCCTTTGCAACTTCTGCAGCTATCTGACCCTTCCTGGCATCACGCGCCATCTGCTTGAACCCACTGTCGTCTTTCTTGACCTTGCGGTTGAGCCTCTCCTGTTGCTTCTTCTCCTTCAGTGCCTTGTTCTGCTCTGTCTGTACCAAACTAAGGCGACCTGTCTTTATGAATTGATGCAACAAGCTCTTGTCAACATTTGCTTTGGTCAAAACGTCTGCAATGTTCTGCACGCCGTCTATCCACCTTACTGAAGCACCCGGTCTCTTGACAGTTTCCCTCAACAAAGCTCCTTCAATGGCCATCCGCTTATCAGTGCCAGTGCTGGTTGATAAAGCGTCCTTGGCAAGATGGTCATAAACAGATCTAGCGTCCGTGACATAGACGAGCTGCCGTCTTTCAACGAATCTCCCAAAAGAACTGCTATCCAATCACCTGCTTCCACTGCTTCTGCTAAATGACTGGCCTCTGCAGCTAATGTACTGCGGCAAACTCTCTTGGTCAAGCTGGAGTGGTAGGAAATGATATTGCAACGACCTTCTTTCCCTTCAAGAACCTGAGGGTCTGCAAGCAAAACAAAATACCCACCAATGGACCTGTAGCGAAGAACGCTGTCCTTCTCAGGAGTGCCGTTGGCATGGCCTGAGTCTGCTAGGTGTATGATGACACCGTTTCTAACATCAACATCTGACCAATAGCGAAGTCGGAAATCTGCACCTCTGCGAGCCATCCCAATGTAACTTTTCAAGCGAACAAGATCTGCTACACAAGGATCTGCCTTTGCCCTGTATACAGCCATTCTCAAATGCCAAATCGCAACGAAGTTGTCGACTGAGCCAACCCAACTCGCCTGCGCAACTATTGAAGAGTTCCTTCTCTTGCAAGGTTAAACTCGGTTCAAGCTGTTTTGCTCGTTGTCGTTCAATCGAAATCTTCTTCATGGACATGGCATAGTTCCTCATGGAAACATCAATGTGTCCATCTGGCTGCTGCTTCACCTCTCGCCCGCGGAAAATAGAATCCCGAACCTGGTTTGTAGCAAACTCAAGCGAAAGGGCAGATTTAGCAAAAGCACGCTGCATATAGGCCTCCTCAACACCGCCTTCAAGATCATCCACATGGGTCACTAGGACTCCTCTCAAGCGGCCTCCGTCTCGGAGGCAAAAGAGCGCTGCCTCAAGGCGTGATTCCTCCCAACCATCTGCAATGAGATGCTCACGCAACGCTAACCAGAAAAGCCTGGCGGCTTCAGCGAACCCGTAGATCACAACTGGCCTGGTTGAAGATTGGGCAAACCGCCACGTGGCTGCTCAAGATACACTTCCCTTCCAACTGACTTCCCACTAAAGTATGCATTCTTAATGTCCTTTGCAAGAAGTGTGAACTGGAAGTATGCAACTAGGCATAGACAAATACTTTCTGCAATGGCACTTGCTGTGGGGATCTCGACGAAAAGCTCCTAAGGCCTTATCTTTAAAACCCTGAACAACAAGTCTGCTCTTTGCTTTGAAGTTCTGTCCAACAAGCCCGTCATTCTTGTTTGTTCGCGCACAACGTGTAGGCACAATCAAATCTGGCTTTGTACTGCGGATCTCTGCACTGTCGGCTAGGCTGAGCACCGAACAAGCATCTTTGGACAACCAAGCCTCCCATTCTGTCTGATCAGAACCACCGGGTCCTGTGAAAAGCTTCTGTTGCACCGATGAAAGTTCACTCAGTTTGGTTTCCTTGCGGCCTCGCTTCTTGACTGGGTTTTCAACCTGCCCTGCAGCAAAAGCTCCATCTGCAAGTCCGGAATATCTCTCTTCAAATCGTTTCGTTTGACTCCAAAAAGAAATTGAGACCTGCTGAGTTGCCGTTGCTGGTAAAATTTTTCAAAACGATCATACTGTTGTGACGCTTTTGTCTTCAAGAAATTCTTTGGTTCAACTGCCATGTGCGCAAACAAATTCTCATGAGCATAGTCTGTCTTCTCAGGCGCTTCTCCAACTCGAAGCCTCTTGGCCTCGCGTTCAGCTGGTTCCTCTTCGGCCTCAACCAACGGTGAAAGCTGTCGAGTCGGTCTTGTATGATAATCATCCAACTCCGGATCAAACTCATCACCTGCAGGAATAGCTTCTGGCGGTAGTTGAGGTGGAATATGTATTGGAAGACTTTCTGCTTGTCTCAACTGTTCTGCTCGCCTTCTGTCTCGCTCTGCCTCCCTTTTCTCACGCATCTTCTTGAAGAAATCACTGGATTGAGCATCACGCTTAGCATCTCGCTCTGATTCATATTTCATTCGAGCCATGGAAGTCGAACTGGAGCTCATGTCTTCCGGTTCCGCCTGGGCCGGCATGGGGACATCGGCCGGAGCGGCGGCTTCTGGCGCCGGAGGTGTCTCCTCGATCTCCTGCTCATCTAATTCGGATATGTCTTCATTCGCATTCTCTACAGCTGGAATTTCATCAGCCTTGTCAGGGACCGGACCTCGCCTCAAATCAAGAAAATCCTGTTCCTCCTGCAGCTGGAGCGGTGTCAATGAGTGCCTGCTCATGGCTAACTGCCATCCACCGATCAAGCTCCTCTTCGTATGCTCTGCTCGAGTGCTCTGGAGAAACTGCTATCAAGATTCCACGGTGCGAAAGCCACACTGTTGATTGACCCTCATGTCCAATGACACGGGCTATGCCGCGCCAGTTGCGTGGTCCTGGTTGACGATCACCACGATCATAGTAAAAGACACATGTCCCAACAGGAAAAGGACCACGTGTCGGACGGATCTTCCTCAACTCTGCCCTTCTCAAAGCTGAATCGTTCGCGGCTCTTGCAAAACTCTCTCTTGCGGCGGCCCTCAATTGATTTTGACGACAGAACCTGGAACCAGGTGTCTCAGCTAAGGCCATCGCGCCTATACGATGAGGTTCGCCTTCATCAGAAAGAGCTGCCGGCAAACGCAGGTCATGGCCTGTGACCCATTGGCACGGCGAGAAGCCATGCTGCCGCGACATGGAGTTCTTGGCCATGTTCACAGCCGCCGTTGCAAGCAAAAGGTCA